CTTGCGCATTGGCACTCGACGTCCTCCTCGGCGACCTGCGTGCGCGCGGGAACGGCAGGGGTCATTTCGCGCGCACCGGGCGGCGCCGTGCTCTCAGCAGCCGGGATCGCGGCAGAATATGGTGGAGAGCTCTACCCGCGCACCTGCCCAGCGAGGAGCTCGACGCCGCTCCTGGCAGGCGAGGCAGGGATCTCGGCGACGTTGGAGAGCGGGCGGACGATGTCGTGGGCGACGCCCGTCCGCAGCCACGTCGTGGTGACGATGATGGCGAGGAGCATCACTGTGGAGAGGAGCGTCCCGGCGCTGCTTGGGCTCGCTCGAGTTATGCGGTCTGGGCCCGGCACGGCTGTTTCTGTGGCTGCAGCGTCGGGGCCTATGGCGGCGGCGTGGCTTGTGGCGGCGGCGGCGGCGGCGGCAGCCTGGCGGGATTGGGCGGGGAGGGCCGGGCGATGCCGGATCTTGACCTCGAGATCCACAAGTGCTGCCCCGACGGCATCCGGACTCCGAGGCTGGAGGCGCTGCTGCGGGACGGGTTTGCCGTCCACAACACGAGCCTGAGCGAGGGCGAGAGACAGCTGGTCGAGACGGCTTTCGGCGCCGGCCTGGTCCGCGTGCTCTGCGCCACATCGTCCCTCGCGGCCGGGGTCAACTTGCCGGTGCGGCGCGTCCTCTTCTGGAGCCTCAAGAAGGGCGTGTCCTCGATGACCGCCACCGACTTTCGCCAGATGGCTGGCCGCGCGGGCCGCACCGGAATGTGCGACGCGGGCGATGCGTTCGTGCTCACCGGCGGCGGAGCCCAGGGCGGCGTGCAGCCGTCGGTCGATGCGGCGGTGCAGCTGCTGGCCGAGCCCATCCCTCCCGTGACTTCACGGCTCCTCTCTCGCTCCGCCGCCGCACCCGCCGCACCCGCACTTGCTGCACCCGCACCCGCACCCGCACCCGATGCCGCCGCCTCCGCCGCCGCCTCCGCCGCCGCCTCCGCCGCCGCACTCGCCGCGGCCTCCGCCGCCGCTGCTGCTGGTGTTGGCGCCGGTGCCGATGTCAGCGCCGCCGTCAGCGCCGCCGTCAGTGTCGGCGCCAGCGGCGGCGCCGCTTCTTCCACGTCACCAGCCATCGCTCCCGAGAGTGCTCACGCCGCTTCACCACCCGCACCGCCACCGCCGCCACCACCCGCTCCCGCGACCGCTTTGTCCACCTCCGCCGCCCGCTCGGCGGCGGAGGGAAGTGGCGGCGGCAGCGAGGGCGATTGGGGCGGCAACGAGGTGCAACGGCTGCTGCTCGAGGCGATGGTGGCGCGGCAGGTCATCGATCGGACCGGGGTGGAGGCGTTGGTGTGGGCGACCCTGCTCTGGCAGCAGGCGGCCGACAAGCCGGCGCGCGTGCAGATCAAGCAGGCCTTCGAGCGAGCGCTCGAAGCGCTCCGTGCCGCCGGGCTGGTGCGGTCCTACCCGTACAACGCGGCGGACATCGCCGCCGGCGGCGGCAAGCTCGTCGAGTGGGAGGCGCTGCCGTTCGGGGGCGCTGCCGCGGCTGCAATGGCGAGCGCGGACCGCCTGGAGGAGTCCAAGAAGATGCTCGAGGAGCTGGAGGAGGTGCGCTCCAACGGGCTC